AGTACAAAATCGTAAAAATCACAAAAAATGTGTTTTAAAAGAACAGGGAAAAACTATGAAAAGAGGAATTAACAAAGACAAAAATAACATATCACATAATAAAAACTGGTAAGACTTCTATTCCTATTTAAATTCTTAAGCAAGGAGTATTTTTTCCATAAAACTGAAGAATGGAGGAAAGAAGAATTAATAACAGTTAATATTTTACAAGGACAAATAATACAATGTTAAAAACAAATCCTCAGAAATAACTGTATAGAACTAATTCAGTGGATGAATATTAAAATCAAAAACTAAGTATGAGTAGTTACAAAGACATATTTGCTTTAGGCCAAAATCTTGAATGGGTTTTCGTTGACTTCATGACACTACTCGCCTATGAAAAAGTTTCAGTTTTACTTGTTACTCAGATTAGTAATTCCTCACAAACCTTATGTCGTCCCCGGAAAACATTTGCAGTAGCTCCCTGTCCTAGAATGTCAGACAACAGCCAGAGGTAATTCGAAGTGCTCTGCATCTTTGTTCTTTGCTTAGACAGTCTTCTTTTGCACCTTAAAAACAAAAGATTAAATTATAATTCAGGAAGGACTTATTTTAGTTAGAAGGAAAAAAACCACTCAACCACAACTCCAAAGACCTACAGAAATAATTAACAACCACCAAGTAGAGGAATAAGAGGTGAAAAAAAGAAACAAACCCAAGCTCAACAACCAAAACTAATGCCATACACACAACACCTCTCTGCATTTGAGGTCTTTACTCCCCAAACTTTGTTTGAAAAATCATCTGGAAAAGTGAAAGCTTTATAATCCTTTTTTTGTTGTACACAGGTGCTTAAATGATACAGTAACAAAAACTATAGGTAAGAATCAAACACACGCACAAGGTCTTTTGAAAATAAGCAAGACTTGTAATCAAATTCTATTATTCAGCATCTATGCCAAAGAACACGCATTAGAGATGATGGCAGATACGTATACAGATCTTTTAGATCACAGTGGCTCTGGAAGCTGCACTTTGGTACAACTGTAAAGGAACTGCACTAACTATTTACAGAAAGCTATTTTTACATGAGCTAGATAAAAGTCACAATTAACACAAGTAGTCTCAGCTACTTGCTACAACCACCAATTACTACTGGAAGAAATTAAGGGACATTCCTCTCATGTCTAAAATTTCACATTTGGTATGTTGCATCATTTCTAGAGACAGCCTGGCTTCCCCACCCTTTCTCAACTCAGGTCCACCCTTTTTCATATGCCCAGGTCTTCACAGATTCAAAAAAAAAAAAAAAAAA